GTTTGTTCAGTTTTGATGTTGTTGTTTTTTCAGTTTTGTTTCGTTAAATTGTTTGTAAAGTTTTGTTAATGTTTTTTTTTTCTTTATTTTTTTTATTTATTTATTTTTTTAGGCTTACTAAGTTAAGTGAAGTACTTTATTTTAGTGTTTCTTATGTTGTTTGTTAGCTTAAGGTAAGTTTCTTTATGATATATATATTTTTTTTTCATTGCTTTGTTCTTTTTCTTTTTTGTTTATGATATATATATATTCTTACGTCTTTGTTCGCGTGAAGACATATAGTTTGTTTCCTCTAACCAAAAACAAAAACATGAACAAAACAATTTCTAAACAACAGTGCCACGAAAATTCCGTACGCTGCATGTGTTTTGTTGTAAATGTTGTTTTAGCAGTTGCTGTTTTGCACATGACAACAGATTAATAAAGTTATGAATATAACCTAATTCATTTGCACGTCACAGAAATGAAAATGTCTGATATTCACACAAATCCAATCAGTTTGGCTCGATACAAACACATCTTTTCCTTGATATTTACAGAGCACGTAAAGTGTACATTGTAAAATTATGTACATGATAATCGGAAAAGGCCCATATTAGAGTGACTGGGAGAGCGAAAGTCCCTGTTTGCCTTGCCTTGCGAACAGTGACATTAATGTTTTTGTGCTGCCGGGAAGGTGACCGTTTCAATGACACCAATAGATATTAAGGACATGTATTGACCCTTAGCTTGATATATTTATTATCTGACACGAGTTTATCTCTTGGGTTATTTATCTATTCTACGAAAAAAGATAAAGAGAAAATGAGGTTTGAAAAAAATTGAAATATATGTTGTTTTTTTCTTCTTTTTTTTAGAGCTTTTATTTGTAATCCTGTAAGCAAACAGGTTTTGCAATATTTTCCTTAAAGCAAATGGAATTGAAAAGATTATGTTTAATTTAACTAAAGTAGTATACGTACTGGGTGGTCGCTCTTAACACGAACATCAAATACGTTTCTCTCTCTCTCTCTCTCTCTCTCTCTCTCTCTCTCTCTCTCTCTCTCTCTCTCTCTCTCTCTCTCTCTCTCTCTCTCTCTCTCTCTCTCTCTCTCTCTTACTTTCTCTCTATTTTAGTTGTGGCTCTTCTATTTGTACCCCTCCTTTTCTTCTCTTTATTCTTAGCTGTGACTTCTCTCTCAGTCCCTCTTTTTCTCATCTCTATTTTTAGTTGTCTTTTCTCTCTCTCTCTCTCTCTCTCTCTCTCTCTCTCTCTCTCTCTCTCTCTCTCTCTCTCTCTCTCTCTCTCTCTCTCTCTCTCTCTCTCTCTCTCTCTCTCTCCCGTACGAAACCCAGCATCCAAGTCGTGACCTTCTACAATGCATTCGTCTTGTAACCTTTCTCTGCGCTCACTCGGGTCGATGTTTGTCCCTGGTTTAAGTGCCTTTAATTGCCCACGACGCGAGGGATGGAGTCAAATGGCCTCGTTAATGTTACTCAGTTGTTGTTTTTTAATAGGGGGGGGGGATGGTAGCGTGGTTCTGATTTTTTATTCTTTCTCTCTTTTTTCTATGTATTTATCTGCTTAGTTGTCAAGCTATTTGTCTGTCTGTTTAATGCCTCATGGAATAGTCACATCTTCTATGATTACATATGTAATCTCAGTCTTAATTTGGAGCTAATAAGATTAAAAATCAAGGATTCATAGGCCTATATCGCTGACATGATCGGATAAATATAAACCGCTAAGGAGTTATCATACCCTATCAACACTAATAATCATATAAAAACTTCATATCCTATTTTTATATCAAGTTATTATATTATTTCCAAGTGGTTCGAAGTAGAGTGATCTTATATCATGTGGTGACATTATACTTTATGGTGATATTACATTTTTTGAATTTATAGTATATAGCTTATACGATTCCTCTGGTCTTAATCAGTAATCATATCGTGTTATCTTATCAAATAAGACAAAAAAAATCACACATTTTTCTATCGTGTTATCGCCATAATTATCAAGCCATCCATACATTCTTATCGTGCTTAGCGTCGCGTCCCTGTCAAAGTGAGACACATTCCTGTCATGCCAAATATGTATGATGCATTCTTGTCATGTCGAAGATTTCGACATGACATTACTTATAGCATACTCTCTCTCTCTCTCTCTCTCTCTCTGTCATACACGGAATCATTTATTTAATGCATTAACCATCCCTTGCATGAGAAGAGAGAGTAAAGAGAAAATGGAGAAGAGAGAGAGTGAGAGGAGAGAAAACGAGAGAGAAAGAACGAGAAAGAGAGAAAGAGAACAAGAGAGAGAGAGAACAAAAGAACAAGAGAGAGAGAGAGAGAACAAAAGAACAAGAGAGAGAGAGAGAGAACAAAAGAACAAGAGAGAGAGAGAGTGAGAGTGTGAGAGAGAGAGAGAGAGAGAGAGAGAGAGAGAGAGAGAGAGAGAGAGAGAGAGAGAGAGAGTTAGCGTGTGGCGATCAGAATCTCTGTCGGTGCCATTGAAGTGCCATATATATATTTTTTTTAAGAATATAGAACAAAAAGGCCAGATAGATATATAGATATAGTATATATATGTATATATATAAACATATAAACATGCATATGTATATATGTTAACATACTGTATATTACAAGATTATTAGTATTCCTATATATACACTGTTTTCAATACCCCGTTCACAAATCCCACGTCATTTTCTAGCAATTAACCGTAAAAGAAAATTCTAGAGCGTGCGCAAACTAGGCGGAATGTCTTCTTAACATTTTTTTCGAGTCATTTGTTCACTTTCACTTTAGATTTTTTTTCTCTTTTGATGACTACATGAAAAATAACAATGAATAGAGGTTGGAATGGGTCAGAGGGGTGGGGGGGGAGAAAGGTAGGGAGGGGGGTGGATAGTATGGGGGAGAGGAGGAAGGGGGAGGACGACAAACGGAAAGAGAAGGGGGGGAGAGGAAAGGGGGAAGGAGAGAGAGAGAGAGGGAGAGGGAGGGAGAGAAAGAGAGAGAGAGGGAAGGGGAGAGGATAAATGTGGGAAAAGAGGGAGAGGAAGGAGAGATGGAGAGATGGGGGAGGTATAATGAAGAGGTGAAGAGGTGAGAGTGACGGAACGAGATTGGGGAGGGGGGGAGGAGAGTGTAAAAGAGAGAGGAGGAAGGGGAAGAAAAAAAAGAGGGAGAAAGAGAGGAGAGGAGGGGGATGCATGATGAAGAACAGAAAGGGAAGAAAAAAAGAGAAAATAATAAGAAAAAAAATAACAGAGATGCAGGAAGAGAGGGGGAGGAGGAAGAAGGAGAAGGACTAAGGGGAGCTAAAAAGAAGTGGGAAATGTAAGAAAGAGGAAGAAGAAAGGGAATAGGTGAAGAAAAGAAACTGAAAAGAGTAAAAAGGAGGAAAGTAGGAAAAAATGTGAAAGGAGAAGGGAAGGAGAATAAAGTTATGAAAAGAGGAGGAAGAAGAGAAGAGAGAGAAGGGATGAGGGAGAGTGAACGGAAAAAAAAGGGAAGAGGGAAAGAGGATAAAGGGATAGAAGAGAGAAGAAGGATGCTGGGAGTACAGCTTCCTGGACTCGGGATGCAAAGAGGTCAGTGAGTCCACGCCTTTCCTGGACGAACACCGTTGATTGTCTCCCACGAGGTCAAAGGTCATGGCGATACCCCGTACTCGCTCGGCTCACTTACCTAGCATTTTTTTCGCTCGAGACGATTTGCTAAGGTCATTCTGGGAAGGTTAGCGAGTGTTTAATGATCGTTATCAGATATGCTTTGTTTTGTCTCTCTCTCTCTCTCTCTCTCTCTTTCTCTCTCTCTCTCTCTCTCTCTCTCTCTCTCTCTCTCTCTCTCTCTCTCTCTCTCTCTCTCTCTCTCTCTCTCTCTCTCTCTCTCTCTCTCTCTCTCTCTCTCTCTCTCTCTCTCTCTCTCTTTTCCTCTATTTTTTCTCTTCCTAAGATTGCTACTTGTTAGTTTTTCTTATCTTTTACTTTGTTTTTCTTTCTTGATTCGTTCTCTCCCTCTTTATTCTCAATCGCTTTGGATTTCTCTTTTTTTTTGTATCTTATCTACTCGTAAGATATAAGCAAATTATTAAAGAAATATAAGATAAAAATCTTGACTCATAACCTCACCATTTTCACGTTTAATTCTCTAAATCTCTTTTTTCCCTGATATTTCTCCCTCTCTTTGTTTTTCCCCCTTTATTCTCACTCCCTTTGCTACTCCCCGCCTACGCACCGCCCAAGGTCAACAAGGGGTCAAAAGGTCACTTTGGCATGATGACGTCACCGTGCATTTCTCTTGGGTAAGGGTCATGCGTGCATTTTTTTTTTTTTTTTTTTTTTTTTTTTTTTTTTTTTTTTTTTTTTTATCAGTGAGTTAGTATTAAACAGGAGTGAAATTCAGTGAGAAGGAAAAATAAGAAAAAAAAGCATAAAACAGGAATTCATGTTTAGAAATTACCTGAATAAAAAAAATATATAATAATGACACTCAGAAATTATATAAAGAAAGATAAATTAGAACAAAAGAACATTAAGTTATATAAAATTGTAGTTTCGTTGGGCGAAATTACTCAGGTGTATAAATATTCTTTTTTATCAGATTTTTTTTAATGTCTCGTGCAAACGACTGAGTCAGAAAACGTGCTTCTACAAAAAAAAAGAGAGATAGATTAACTTCTCTCGGTACTGGATTGTCGAAAAAGACCGAAAAAAAACGAACAAATTATGTACGTCTGAGAAATGTTTTCAAAGAGAAAAAATCCTTAAGTCATTTTCGACGAATTTCCAAAGCGAGTCAAAAGGTTATCACAATCAGCTGATAATGAATGCGGTCGAGATGAGTGAAAAAAAAAAAATATATAGACTTAAAAATGTCTTTGGAAGTAGAAGGGGAAAGGGAAGGGAAGCGAGTCACGACATAGAAGTTAAGACTAATGAGAGGGTGTGAACAGTAGGTGATCGTTCTCCCTCCCCACCTCCCTCCTTCCCCCCCCCCCACAGCTG